GTATGGGATGAGTTCCAACAGAAAGATTTGTTCAAAGACAATAGAACACAAAATTGGTATATGAGTTGCATTAATGAGTATGAGTTGCCTATGAACAACACCATATGATCAAAACAAATTCCTCAAGATCAAACAAAGGGATGTGCAAGTTGTAAACACAATCCCCATGGATAATTTTAGGAAGAGAATTGAGTTTCTGTCATAGACCACAATGTGATAATCCAAATGTCAACCTAGTAAACTAATTGTGCAGTACTATTACAAGGTTAAATCAATGCATAAAGGTAACAACCAAATTTCAATCAAAATGCCACAAGTCAATGCTCTCAATACACAAAACATAGTAGTTGAGTAATGAAGTTTCACATGCCAACAGAAATTAACCCACCCTCAAGATACTGAGCTGACAGTAAAGAAACACAGAGATTAACAGAGAATCTTGGTAACTAGATTGAGGCTGTCAAACCATGACAGTTGATCCTTAATAGGATCTTGACACAAGCATTGAATTACATGGCCAATGAACTTCCAAAACACACTGTCAGTTTAAAAGATTTGAAATCTAAAGGGCTGCCAAGTCATGGTAGTTGACAGAAAAACATGGTATTGTTGACATAAGAGTTCAAAGCAATGTAACCTATGATGCTAGCAAGCAATCCAATGGCAAGATTCAATCATGCTTCACAAGACAGATGCAAAATTATGGTAAAGGCACACAACAGACATTTATATGTTCAAGGCAGTTGGCAAACACCAAACAATAGACAGGTTCACAACAAGTGGCACAATACAACACTGAACAGACCTACACATCATGCCTTAACATCATGCATTAAGGGTTGCAACAGCCAATGTCTTTACTAAGACTAAACATAGACATATAATTCCAACAACAAACTCTCATAGAAATGATTAAAAGCCTTCTAACATGAAAACATGATTAAAGAAGTTTATTTGAAAATAGGAGCAGCAACACAGTTTGTCAAAATGCAACATCATTTCCAAGTAATGCAAGTAGCACCTAGTTAAACAAACTCAAACCAAAACAATTCCAATCAGCAAGATTATGAGTACAAACATGATAATGTTCAACATCAACCAGCAAATGGTCTAACAAATTTCACATGACAGTTGCTAAAACACAAGCAGATTTTAGTTATGGGAAGCAAACTCTACAACCAAAAATGACAACTTGATCATCACAAAGTCACACAATCAAATGCTAAATCCTCAAGATAGTTACAACCTCAAAGTGACAGCTACCAAACATGGCAATGCCCAAGAACAAACAAAACATCCTAAACCTCCTCATATTGATGGTTGACAGATTCTTAAGTTTAAAACAATTTTGGTGCTAAAATTGACATATCAATGCCAAGAGTCTCAACTCAACATGTATCCAAACATCATACCTTCACAAAGGTAGAAACAACATACAGGCCACCTTAATGACATCCCAACAGCAGATGCACATGGTGTAGGTTTCACATATTTTTGACAGCATACTTAACAACTTTAACATGACAATGTACAAACCAATCTCAACCACCAAACAACATATGACAATGCATACTAGTGAATGAGTTCAAAATAACATACCTCTTGTAGTCCTTACTATGCTAGCAGCCAAGAAAACTAGAGATCCTTCCTTTTGAACAAGTTTGTGAAGCTTACTTCTTTTTGAAGAAACAAGCAAATCTTGAGGACAGTTTGAGTAGATGAGATTCTAGCTGCTGTTTGAGACTATGAACATTTAGTATAACCTAAATGGAAGGTGTTCCAAGTGTCACAATGATGGAAAATGATTTGTATAGTGATTTGGCTTGAAAGGTGCATAAAAGTCAAACTTGAGTGGTGTGGAAGTTGAGTTTTTGATTCATGGTTCTTTTGATGAAACTAACTATTGGAATAGCTTCAAATGATGATTGTAAAGGTGTGTATATGGTTTTTATGATGGTTTTATGGCTGGAAATGATGCTGGTGTGAAAAATGCAAAGTGGCCATTTTTGGTGATTTTGTGAATTTCTTCACTTTCAAGCAAAGAGGGAAAGAAGGAGAGTTGTGTGTTCCTTGTGTTTTGGATGACTCTAGCGTGATGTAAAGAGTGAAATTAAGCTTTTATTTATAGGCCATGAGAGGTGTTGGGGCAGCTTTGGATTCAAGCCTTTGGAGGGAAATCTTGGAATCCATCCAAGATTTGTAGCAGCTGTACACTCAAGCTCTTGACTTATTGTGAGACATAAATCAAGTGAGATGAAGGACATGGAGGTGACTGAAGTGAGGCTAGAGGGTAGGGAAGCTGCTGCTGCAGATTTCATGGAAAGTTTCTCTTTCCTATTTGATTTCTTTGAATATAATATTGCAACTTTGCTTGCAACTTGCAAAGCTTTCAAATTCTCATTCTTTCTGCATTTTCTAACCATCAACCTCTCTAAATATCAGATTATACATGATCCAATGGTTGAGAATGATCCAAGTGGCTGAAAAGTGAATTTGTGAAAAAGTTGAAATAGTGCATTCAAGTGTTGAAACTTGATCAGTGCATATTTATGCACATTCTCCTATATTTTTACTTAGGCATTTCTTTACTTTATTTTGCTTATTATTATATTTTATTATGTTTTCATATTTTATTTTATTTTTGGTTTAATTTAATTTTCGCACTTATTTTTCAGCTTTAGCAGTCTGCACGGAAACGATCATAACTGGAGCTCCGGGAATCCGTTTGAGGCGTTCTAAAAATCGCCGGAAAGCTAAGAGAGAGAGCTACGACTTTCGTGTTGGAGCAGAAATCAGATTCGGAGCTCAAAATTCCAGAATTCCGTTTCAAGTTACAGCATTAGGAATTTGTTTTAGTTTTGGGTCATGTTTTGGGTCTGGGTTATATTTTCGACCCAGTTGGGTTATGACCCGAATTCTGGTTTTTTATCCTCTTTAGTCTAGGTCTGGCCGTACAGCCAAAAACCATATTCACTATTCACGAAAAAAAAACCTTTGAGAAGAACTCATGGAAAACTAATACCTCCGGGCAAATCCTGCTGTGTATGGTTTCAACACTTTGAGGTTATTATAATATCAATTTAAATCTGATTCCTTTCAATCCTTTTCTATGAAGTCATTTGCTTAATTTGATTGCAATTGTTTGCTTAATTCAATTGTTGTTCATAGGATAGAATTGATTAAATTCGATTGTATGCATGTTCCTAAATTTAATTGCGTGTTATCGTTTGCTTAATTCGTTAATTCGTCATATTCTTAACCGTTTGCTTAATTCGGTAAACAGGAACATAATTCATTTGATGTTGGTAAGCGCTTGTCTGATTAATATCATAATCGAATAGGATTGGAGCCGTTTAGGGAATGATGTTATAATAGTCGATGATAAGTCGGAACCCGAATCAGTAGGATTAGCCGTTTTATCTTATTTTAATAATCATTTTTTTATAATCACTTATTTTCAGTATTTTTTCTCTTAATCAAAATTCAAACCCCCATAAATTATTACTTTATTGGTCAATCACTACAAGAATCCTTTTGAGAACGATATTTCGAGTCACTGTCGCTATACTGCATTTTTATCAAAACTACTCGTTTTTGATCCGCGAGCGACCGCGGATCAAAACCCCAACTTGCTGGACTCATACCTCTCAACTCATAAGAGCTATGGAAGGGTTCTAGTACTTTTTGGAAAGCTCTCGTGGAGCTCTACAACTTTCATGTTTACATGATCTTCATATTCCAAGTGGAACCAGTGCTGAAGGCTCACTACAAAAACTCTTATTTGGACGAGAGTCAGATATTCTATTCTCTAACTCTTTCTTGCTACCTCTTCATCCGAACTAACTTAAGTATTAGAGTGTCTGCAAGTACATCCCTCTTCTCTCGACGATCGTTACTGCTACAGACGTATTGCTGACGTATATTTTAATACGGTCAGTACGGTATATCCATTCACAAATAATATTTTAGACATAATTAAAAAAAAGTCAAATATTTAAAAAAAAAATCTAACAACTATTAAGGGTTATTCCAATTAAACTCTAAATTTTGTACATTATTACATTACATGAACAAAAACCTAACGGACAATAGAGTAAGAATTAAAACCAAAAAATAGTTAAACCTTTTATTTTATTTATTTTTGAATAAAAAAACTTTTTATTTGTAACTTCAGTTTGTGTCAAAAGAGTAAAACAACCGTTACCGTCAGCCACTCTTCGCCGTAATCGTTCTCACCAGTACGGTCGTCAGTCTCTCGTTCCTCACTCCGGCGCGAAACACTCTTTCTCGTCCCTCAACATTACACTCTTGCACGGCGTAGTCTCCGATACGTCAGGTGCCATCCAGTGGTTCAATTGTTCTGCATCAGATCCCTTTTCGGTAACGCTTTCCTCCCTCTGGTTATTCGTTAATTACTTCCAATTCAACGAAGACTAGAATCGTTTTATTCTTTTGTTTAGGTTGAGAATAAATGAAATTGTATATTCTACCTTGTTGTTGATGGTGTTGGTTTCTGGTTTGTCTAGAGTTTTAGAATTATTAGGCATAATTGAGATTTAATTGAATATGATTGTGCTTGTTGAATGCAAAATTACAAATGGTTTAGTCAGTGATTTGCAATTTAAACAAAATATTTATCTTGATTGATTCAAACCGGAAATAGGACATCCGACACTAGTAATAATTTAAAAAAATGAATAAATTAAATTGCACATTTTTTATTTTTGGATCAATGGTTTTTACGTCATACTGATCCGAACCGTGAACCCCCCTTAGAAACAAGTTGGAATCCCACTCAACTTAACTGCCCGAAAAACAATGGCGGAGTTCGCTGTCGATATCAGGAATCAGTGAAAAAGTCATCTAGGCGTTCCCTTTTTTATTTATATAACAATTATCCGTTGCGATTCAAATGCTGTTTGCGGTTCTTATCGCGTTAAAAAAGAGATTCTCCTTAGATTCTGAAATTTCCCATAAGAAGCAATGCTCCAAAGAGAAGCATGCATTCTCTGTTTTTCCACAACGCAAACGCAACAACACTACACTCTCTCAACTTAACTTCTTCACTTCTTTTCCCAAATAATCACAATCTCTCCTCAAAACCTCGTTTCCAATCCTCCAGAAAAACCAACACACCAAACCCCAAACACGTCCCTAACAAAAAGGTTATAATCCTCTGGGACCTCGACAACAAACCTCCACGTGGACCTCCACACGACGCCGCACTCTCTCTCAAAACCCTCGCCGAACGCTTCGGCGACGTCATTTCTATCTACGCTCACACAAAACGGCACTCCTTCTTCAACCTACCTAAATGGAATCCCAACCAAAACCCCAACCCTAATTCGATTCTCTGCCGCGTTTGCGGTCACGAATGTAAATCAATTTCCGATCTCGAAATTCATTTCAGGAGAGTTCACTTGAACCGGCGTGGGAAGTTGCGGGAAAAATTGAGATCGGTTAAGTTGAGCCGGTCGAGGGTCGGGGTCGTTCGGAGAATTCATCCGTATAATCCGTATAATGATTCATTTTGTTTTTATTTTATGCTGATTGTTCATTTGATTGATTTTCTTGTCTGTTCTACCTCTTCTGTTTTTTCGATTGAGATAAGGAACAATATTAATTTTCATATTTGATCTGGTCGGGGACTTAGAAATTTTTGCTTATCTAGCATTCTTCTTCCTATAAATCAATAGAATTTGAGCGGTGTTTTCCAACCTTTTTGTGTACCAATAGAGATAGGTAAATATGATTTCATTGCAATTTTAGACGCTGGATTGCGTTAAAATATTTGTTAGCTTTAATACATAAGTTTTACCGCTGAATATGAGATTATTATTTTCAGTCTGTTATTTGATTTTTGTTTCTTTCCCCGATTATGTTTTATTCATGAATTATTTGTAAAATTGTTAAACGTTTCAGGAATGAGAATTAGTAAAACAGAAGTCAACTTGAAGAGATTGCTTGCAGCTGCTCCTCAGCAGCAAAACCAGGCAAAACTTGTACATGTATGTATGAAAATTAGCTTTGACTATATTTATTTTAGAGTAATTAGTGTTATGTCAGAAGAGGAGAGGAGGGTTTACATTTTTGTTTTTAAAGTTGGGGGTACTGTAAAATATTTTAAAGATGAATTGACTGACAATGAAGTATTATATGATCATATATCATGTTGTTCTTTCAATTGTTTAAAAATATCTAATACATATCAAAATATAGCTTAGCCCTCCAAAACCCTCTAAAATCTGACTCCCAAACATACCCTTACAGAAACCAAGTTACCTTTTTTTAGATTTATGTTGATCTCAATTACCTATAACTTTTTGCTAATTTTATTGAAATAATGTTCTGTTGATTCTGTAGTATGTTGCTACTTTGCGTGAACAACTAGAACAATTGGCTGAAGAGAAGACACCAGACGGCTTGCCAAGGTAGTATGTCTTATTACTTACACTCTTATCTTATATACCTAAAGAGAAAACATATTTGGACACAAATTTTAACATCAATTTTCGACAATCAATTTTATGGTTAACGCAGTACAAATACGAGGCTAACGTAAATTGATCCATAGATATCTATTATGATTTTACGCCCCAAATGCTTACAAGAGTTTCAAAATTAGCTAGGAATAGTCCTTTGGTTAGAATATTTGCCTCTTGGTGTACAGTTGGAACAAATGGTGTACAAGTAGCTACACCATCTATGTTTTCCTGTATTAAATTTCAGCAAACTTCCACATGTTTATATGCATCCCTGATTTGTCAAGAATTATTTTTACACATAACATCTTACATACTCCATGAGCTGTTTCTCTATATTCCACTTCAATAGCTTATAGCACCTTTCCGCTACATTTTGTTTTCTGCTTTTCCATTTGACTAAAACCTTGAGCAATAAGCTCACATAGATTTCCCATCCATGATAGGTCGTGTACAATCAGCATTTAAGTAGACCTCAATGATCTGTCATGTTTTTTTGTTAAAGCAATTATCTTTGTCACGGACACCTCAAATTTTCTAAATTTACATATACCGGGTTAAGATGTTCACCATTGGCGAATCTATGAACTTAATAGCTAAACTCACTGCAAACAAAATACCAGGCCAATGAGGCCATGTATCTTGTTCCCTCAAAGCTTTTGATTAAGGTCACAAGAGTATTTGCTAGCCTACTAACACTCGTCTTGTTAGGAGCCCAAGAATTGGATTCCAAACGAATTCCCCAAAAACTGGACAGCATTGATAAATCAAAAGAATAATTCCCAGATTTTCCGCTAGGGTTAGAAAAACTTAACAGCCTAGGCTTTGTATCTAGTGAAAATTTCTTGAAGTAGTGGATGCCATAGGTTTGAGTAAAGGCTATGATAACTGATCAAGCGTCATGTCTTTTAAAGAGGATGCGATTTTATATCTGAATGACCATTCTTTGGGTTAAACATGTAATTGTTAAGAATTATTATTTAGTGAAATTTAGGGATTAGATGGAAAGGAAAAAGAGAGAAGATCCACTTATTGGAATATAGGATATTGAATAACTACTGGAATATAAAAACCTAATTCAATACTTTTATATGTAATAAATTATATTCTAAGTCAAGAACAAGTTTAGAGTTATATATACATAAGAAATCCTATCATAACAATAGTCCTAATATTCAAACGATACTTAAAAGGTCTAGCAGACTATGGTACATCTATGGACTCCTGTATTTACAATGAGTTCTCTTTGAAATATGACTCTCATTGAACATATGTTGTACCGTTCCTTGTTTTAAATTCTATGAGAAGATCTTGGACTTATAATGATTACATTTCCTTAAACTGATTGGGCAGTTTATTTCCTCTTCTACCTGCTCAAATCATTGGTAATCCATGATCTAAAGCTGTTATATTCCTGCTATATGTTTCTCTACTGAATATGTGCATTCCTTGATGTTTGGATATGACCGGTCATGCAGGATCTCAAAGACTACATTGAACGATTATTCAGAGAAGATTGAAGCCATTGCTTCAGAATTGGTTCACGTGGTATGTATTTGTTAGCTATTGTATCTTGGAAAGATTGAAATGCAAAGGGATCATTATAGCAACTGACTAAACATTTGAGGTATATTTTATTTAGGAATCTAAATAAATAAGCCACATTTTCATCAATAAATAACCTAACTACTATTATTTCACAGCATGGTTGTTGTATCCCCTATCATAGCTTGCTCTAAGTCGTGTATAGTATTAGTAACAAAAAAATTCTATAGCTAGCCATGTCCTTTTCAGTCAAAAAGTTGTTTTAATGAATTTCAAATACATTCTAAAATAAAAACATTTTACTTAACTCATAGGTGCACATATTGCATAAACTTAAGACTGAAGGTCCTGCTTGGTTTAGCAGTTGTTAGTGCTAGGTTGGAAATGTAGTGAAGAAAGTCACTTAAAACCTACTTGATATAACAAAAACATGAAAAAAAAGTGGAAATATAAGGCCCCGTTTACTTTGGGGGAAAGGGCATTAGAACAACATTTTGAATTGTTGGTATTGTAAAACCAAACATTAGCTTAATTGTAAATGTTTGGTTTCTTTGGGGATTCTTTAAACCTTTGCAGATTTGTTTTCTTTGTCTATTTCTCAGCTCTCTTGTTTGTGTTAATAATGCCTATTGCCTTGCTCAAATTCAATTTTACTCCATCCTCTTTTGCCCACCTAGTCAACCAAACAAACCTCAATGATTTGTTCTGTGATGGAGAACATCACACTAAAATGTAAGAAGTGCATATAAAATATTTAATGGTTTGAATTATTGGGACATGGTTGGAATGCATCATAAGGCAATGCAATTTACTCCATTGTTTCCTGTTCATATATTCCATTTCAGTGTTTTAGCTAAATAAGCACACTTAGTGATTATCATATAACCATTAAAATTTTCAGTCTGACATAGAAGTATCTGAGAAGGACATTGAAAGAAATGTTAAAGAAAACCCTTCTGAAATTGAGGAAAAAAAGCCAGTGTCACCTTTTGGATTACGAAGAAGGGCTGTGTAAGTTAATGTTAATCTTTTTCACCACTGCTTGTATTTTGTAGGCTGTTTTATCATTACTCATCTGATTCATTGGACAGAGCTGCCTCAAGTACCGAAGATAGAGCACATGAGCCTGCTGATACTGATCACTTATCATCTGTTAAATTGGATGCTGCAGGACATGCACATATTGAAAAGCACAGGTACATTTGAAGTTTGTTTAATGGTGAGTCAGTAGTACACGTAACCTGTAAATCTTAGGTTCCTATGCAATATTTTTAAAACAACAGAAGTATGTGTTTTCAAAACTAGGACTGATATTTTGAGGTCAATGTAATTGAGTTATGTTTGGTTCTGTGGTATAAAAAATTAATTCTGAGTGAATTGATCCTGTAAAATTGATTCCGGTTAAGTTGAGCCGGTTAAGTTGCGGGAAAAATTGAGATCGGTTAAGTTGAGCCGGTCGAGGGTCGGGGGCTTTCGGAGAATTCATCCGTATAATGAAGCTGCGGGGAATGTCGTTGCGCCTAGGGTTGGATTTGGTATGGCTTCGGAGTTGCGGCGGGCTGGGGTTTTTGTTAAAGTTGTGAAGGTTGGCGAGAAGGTGAATGCGGCGGATTTGTGGTTGGAGAGGGAGATGATGAAGGGAGATTGGTTGGTTGGTTTTGGTTTCGGATGATCGGGAATTTGCGGAGATGTTGAGGAAGGTTAGGGAGGTGAATTTGAAGACGGTTGTTGTTGGGGATTATTGGGATAGAGATTTGGGGAAGAATGCTGATTTGTGGCTTCCTTGGATTGTTGTTGAGAATGGAAAGGTTGATGGAATGGGTTTAAACTTTAATGGGAAGAAGAAAACAATAACAGAGGGTTTGGATGATGAATTGGAAGGAGATGAGAATTTGGGCTATGAGTATGTAACAGAGGAAGAACAATTAGATGATGAAAGGTTTTAAATAAATGTCGCATTGTGTTCTTTTTAAGGCTCTCGCGTTTTTGGTCAGTACAAATTTTGCATTTGCATTGTGAATAGGGGCTATAGAGGTGCTACAATGATATTGCATTGCAGAATTGTAGAGCAAAGAAGCATAGCAGAATTTAAATTAATTAGTGTTTTCTCTGAGCCGCACTGCAATTGGAAATAATGTTTCGAATGAAGCTAGACGACTGGGTTGAGGGTTAAGAATGGATAGTGAAATTGAGTTGAGTGAAGTTGAATTGAGGATAGTGAAATTGAGTTGAGTGAAAAGGACAAGTTGTAAGTTTATAGATGCACTATTTTCTTTGATTTGAATGGCTTACATAGGTTTTTAGATTTGTGTGTTAATAGCTCTTTTTACAGATCTTATACTTGTTTGTTGCTATAGATAAAGATTTGTGTCTTGATGGTTCATATATTGGTTACATTTGTTGAAGCTTGTGAGAAACAAAGTTAGATCTTGTTTGAATATAACAATCACAAGTTTGTTGAATTGAAGATGGACAATGAGAATAGATTTAAGGTGAAGAAGTCAAGACAGAAGTTTGTCTCAGTCTCCGAATTCCATTGAATGCCAAAACATGGTTGGTGTTGATTCCAAAAAGGGAAAGACATCGATGGTAGATGACTCTTTTATTAC